AGCAGTTTTACCTTAACTATAACTCTGAGCCCACTTGATTAATGCTACTTTGTAACAAGACTTTCTCCTAAGACAGTCCCCAAGGTGGGTGAAGCTCACAGGCCTTAGATGTAAAGCTGGTGGATGCAATTGAATCGCAGTACAATGTTTGCATTCGGGTGCTGATGTTCTGTTTGAAGTACGCAGCGTGTGCAGCTGGCTTTCATTCTATTTTAGAAAGAGAGTGACAGAAACTATAGATCTAGAGCAGTGGTTCTCAAGAGAGGCAATTTTGCCTCTGAGAGCACATTTGGAAATGTGTGGAGACATTTTTGGTTGTCACAACTGTAGCAGGGGGTGTGATATTGGCATCTAGTAGATAGCTGCTAAACATCCTAAAATTTACAAGACTGGCCTCCCCACAATAGAAAATTATTTGGCCCCAAATGCCAAGAGTGCCAAGGCTGACAAATCTTGATCTAGGGCAATGCTGTCCAACAGAACTTTCTATGCTGATGGAATGGTTCTCTACTTGCATGTCCAATATGGCAGCCACTAGCCACATGTAGCTATGGGAACACTTCAAATATGGCTAGCTCGGGAACTAGATTGAGAAACTAAATTGTTTATGTATTTTTCTTCTTTCAGAGATAGGGTCTTGTTTTGTCACTCAGGCTGGTGTGCAGCGGCACGACGATAGCTCACTGCAGCCTCGAACTCCTGGACACAAGTGATTCCTGCATCTCAGCCTCTTGAGTAGCTGGGATTATAGGTGTGAGCCACTGTGCCCAGCTATTAAATTTAATTTTAATTAACTTTAATTTAATTCACCATGTTGCCCAGGCTGGTCTTGAACTCTTGGCCTCAAGTGATCCACTGGCCTTGGCCTCCCAAAGTGCTGGGATTACAGGTGTGAGCCATTGTGTCCAGCCAGAACTCCAACATTTAAGACATTATTGATGAGGGTGCATCTGACAACATCAAGCTTGGGTGCCCATGGGAGTCACTTGGGAGATTGCTGGAGAGGGGGGCACATGGATCCTCAGGTGACCAACATCCCAGTTTATCAGGACTTTCCCAGTTTTAGCACTAGAAGTTCTGTGCTAAAACCCCATCAGTACCAGGAAGACCACCCCAGCCCAGGTCCCATTCTCAGAAGTTTTCATTCACTAAATCTCAAGTGGGACCTGAGAATTTAGCTTTTTATCGGGTTTCCCAAGTGATTCCTTTATGCGACAAAGTTTAAGAATCACTGCAGATCAGCCAGCGAGGAGCAGGGAGAGAGGGGGGAGGAAAAAAGTAGATTCGTTATCATCACATAGAAGGTGAGCATTTAAAAAAAAAGAGAAGCAATACAAAATGCTTTAAGATGATTAAATTGCTTTTTAAAGCAAAACAAAACAAAAAGTGGGTTTGTCGGTTGCTTGTGCTTCAGCAGGTTGGCCACTTCTTGCTTGGCTGGATGGCTGCATCCCACCCCAGAAGAAGGGGGACCCCCTTCTCTGGGACAGCTGGAGACAAGTCAAGGTGCCCATCCCGGCTCTTGCACCCACTGAGATCTGCTAGGAGTGGGCTCCTCTGCTATCCGACAAGAAAGGATGCTGCTTACTGGAGACCTGTAGGCTACAGAAACTGTCCTCTTTTCTTCCCACTGTCAGTGTGCTCAGAATACCTGCCAGGAACAGTGAAAAATGATAAAGTTTAATGCTCCCTTTGGCTAGGGATCCTCCCCTTCTCTAACACCGGGTCTGGGAAAGGTGCAGGAGGCAATGAAGCTGGGGTGACTTTTATGCACACCTGCATGTCGGATCTGCATCAAGTCTCCTCTTTTAGAGGAAAAAACCTCCTTCTGGATCCACCTTGGGGTCAGAAGGTTAGCTCTTTATGAGTAATTCAGATTCTATAATAGTCCTATATGCTTAAACAAGTATTATATAACACAACCCAAGTATTATTGCTCTGGATTTGCAGAGAGCAAAACACAAAATAGAAACCAATGATAACAAAACAACGTATATATCTGTTATAAGGCACTGTTATAAGAACTGGACAGCATTAGCCCATTTAAATCTTACCATAGCCTTAGAAATAGGTGCTATTGGCTGGGTGCGTGGCTCACGCCTGTAATCCCAGCAATTTGGGAGGCCAAGATGGGCGGATCACCTGAGGTCAGGAGTTTGAGACCAGCCTGGCCAACATGGTGAAACCCTGTCATTACTAAAAATACAAAAATGAGCTGAGTGTGGTGGTACATGCCTGTAATCCCTGCTACTTGGAAGGCTGAGGTGGGAGAATCGCTTGAACCCGGGAGGCAGAGGTTGCAGTGAGCTGAGGTCATGCCACTGCACTTGAACCTGGATGACAGAGATCTGTCTACAGGTCTGCTTACTGGAGACCTGTAGGCTACAGAAACCTGTCTTCTTTCCTTCCCCACTGTCAGTGTGCTCAGAATCCTGCCAAGAACAGTGAAAAATGATAAAGTTTAATGCTCCCTTTGGCTAGGGATCCTCCCTGTTTTCTACCACCGGGTCTGGGAAAGGTAGCAGGAATAAATAAACAAATACATACATACATACATACATACATACATACATACATACATACATAAAATGCTTGAGGAAAAGCTAAAGCAAGACGACGAAGGCATTTGAGAGAAAGGGAGAAATGATATTCAAGAGACAATGGAAAGAAATCCCAGGATAACAGCTGTGCCCCAGCTCTAGAAAACAGTTGGTCCAAATTACACCACCCAACAAAGAGAATGCATAAGAACAGGGGTGACTTCAGAGATACAGCAAAGTTGTGTATATTTTCTCTGTCAACAACAAAAAAAATCAAAGACAAATAGAAGCTCCAAAACAAGCAATCCTCTAAAAGCTGTAAAGAAAGTCAGAGCCGGATATGAATAAACTAAACTCTGACTTGTCTGTGCGCAATCAAGGGTGCACAATTAAAAAAACAAAACAAAACAAAACAAACAGCAAACTCACTTCACCGGAACCAATGATTCAGATTAAGTGACATAAAGTGACATAGAATTAGATGTCCCTTTCTAGGAACTCAACTTCTCTAATGCACACATAACCACAGCTTCGAAGCCAGGTAGCTTTCATCTTTTATAATCTACCTGTGATAGTGTGATTTGTGATAAGAAATATATCTTTGGTCTTTATTCCAGGTTTCCCACACAGGCTCCCAAAACGCTGGAACTTCCTAGGTGATGGGAGCGTCTTCTGTTCTAATGTTTGGTCTTTGGTTCTGGTTCCTAAAACGGAGCTCCTAATCTCTTGGAAATTCCCGGGTGACGGGAATATCTTTTGTTCTCATGAGGCAGCTTTCAACAGGGGCTCCTGGATGGGGGCTGGTCACCAGAAAGACCAAACCAGGGTTAGAAGCTTGCAACTTTCAGCCTC